ATTTTTGTTTTATAGAAAAAAAGAAAGAGAGTCAAGATTGTCTTTGTGAAAGAAACCATTAAGATGAATAAAATACGATGTAATAGAATTGAAATTTTTTTTTTTTTTTTTTGTGGGATATGACCTGTATATGACAAGGTCATACTCAGGATTATGTTATTTATGCAAACAAATTAGCCACAATTCACGGCATAGTTTTATACATCATCCATCCGAAGAAATTCTTAAATATATATAAAGTAGTCCCCTTAGTCCACTCGTAATTCTAGACTGTTAGAGTAGTTCTTGTATTCTAATAATTTAAGTTTTTTTTTACTGTTAAAAAAAGTGCTTGATAATCCTAAGACTTCTAACTACAAATTCAAAATAATGTCGTTTTAAAACTTATATGTGTTGAGAAACTTACATATAATGCACAAAAAAAAAAAAAAAAACTACTCATACATCTTTTTAAATTTTATAAGACTTTTAATTACTAATTGGAGTCTAGATTAATATATGCATTTCCTATCAAATTATATTTGAAAAAAGAAAATTTATACACATTATTTTATTATAATAATTTTATAATAATCACAAAATATCAAATGAGTAAAAATATATAATTTGTTAATGAAAATATATAATTCAATACTCTCACTAAGTGAAATGGGTTTATTATTATTATAACTAAGATTTATTGTAAGAAAACATTGCGTGTGAATCATTTTAAAATTTTTCATAACTTTATATTATTTGACCAATTCTAACAAGAGAGTTTGGTTTGTAATCATGTCAAAAGTTGTCTTTTTTTTCTTTTCTTTCCTCCTTTAATTGGCACTTGATGACTAGGAAATTTTATCCCTTGTTGACTGCTGCAAAGATAACATATTTGTCCTGTTTTTCAATGTCTCTCTTCCGATTGGAGAAGATGCAGAAAACTCCAAATAACACATGCAACCCCTGTATAGTTCCGTCGTGGAACAAAAATTGATCACATATTTTTTACTTGAAATGAAAATTAATTCTCTTAATTCCAAGGACGTATATATATACATTGTTAGTTAATTGTTCATCTAAATTGTTATAAATAGAAAAATAAGAGATTTAAAAATTACATTTTGTATTGATTTGGGATGAAGGCATCATAATCATGAGTTCTGTTGTTAGTAAAAATCAATGGATCGATTACTGAGGTTTTTGAAGTGACATTGCAATAGTAATGTACAAAGACAAAAAATGTCGCAGCATGCAACTCATTACAGACTATGTTCATACTTATTAGCAACATTCCAATTGAGCCAAAATTAAATGATTATTCCCATATTGAGAAGCCGGTAACATATAGTAGAGATTTGAATTCCTCTTTCAACTTTAACTTTAGAAAAACAACATCTAAGTCATTAGAAATATTCAATATAAACCCTCATGGTAGTTGAGGTATATTTATTCTCTTCAATATAAAGACTGTCTGGCTGCTGATACATGTTTGGTTCAAATATGTGAAGTCCTGGTAAATACTATTTGTTATCTATTATGCGAGTAATTAATTTTCCTTTAAAATTTTTTTAAAAAAAGATTAATTTTGAAATACATGTTCGATGAGGACTACATGGTGATACATAATTGGTTCAAGTAGTTGAAATTCGTATATCAAATTTCTCCGTTTGTAATATATTATTAAAGAAAAGATATTAATTTTGAAATATGTGTAGACAGATTTGGTTATAAAACATAATTTAATTTTTTTTCTTGAAAAAAGTCATTTTAATTTCTGAATTCTCATTTATCACAAGAAAAATAGAAGGAAATGGAAAGTCACTAACCACATGGTTGAAAAAAACAGCCCATTAGAAAATGAAGGATGAATGTGAAATGAAATTAACATGGTGGGGAGCAAAAATTGGGATGGTTATTGAAAAGGGCAAAAGAGACAGACAGAGGTGTTGGAGAGGAGAGAGAGTGACGTGTTGTAGACATAAGCAAGGGAGAGGTCACCCACGTGCCGCAGAAGGTGTCGGCTACGGTCAAATGCCGGTGCCAGTCCTTGCCACGTGTAGCCTGATATTCCAAAACCCCCCTCAGCAGTTTCAAGTTTGAATGTTTGACTGCCATTTTCCCATAATGCCATCCGCCTCCTCCACCGTAACCCGCTTTCCTTGGACTCTTCGCTGACTTCCTCATCTTCCCCACGCTCTCTCTAAGCGCGTTACGCCTAATTTTGCTCCTTAACTTCTTCTATTTTTCATCATGAGATCTATTGTTCACATGATTAGATTTGCGTAATTTAACATAATTTAAAAAATATAAAATATTTATATTATGATATTATTAATTTAATATTCTTTATATGCCTTATTAACATGTGATTTTGACTTTTTTGTGATAATTTTATGTAAATGTTTTTATTATAAGGTATGAAAGATATTTATTTATATTTTTGTGTGTGTAATTTTTGTTTATAATAATTTAATTCTTATGAAAATTGAAGGTTTTAAATTCAAGGTATAATACTAGTAACAAAGAAGTAAAAATCATAATAAATATGGTTTTTTTGAATGGTTAAAGGACCAATTTATATATTTTTTTAAAATTTTTCACTAAATAATTTTAAAATTGAGTACATATATTACACAAGATGGCTAAGTACATTTAATATTCATTGGAAATATATATAGTTATATAAGAGTGACTGATAGTAAGGGGGAAATGATTTATAGAGCAAAAATAACCTCAAATAATTCAAATAAATTTTGATTTTTATTCTTATTGAGTAAATTAAAAATATTATCTCTTGTTAATTTTTTTTTTTGAAACGAAATATTATCTCTTGTTATTAAATCAATCAATTAGTATAGGTAGCTAGCTAGGACTCGGTATAAGTATGCGCAGTCGGATGTGTTTCCATACTAGAGGCCACTTTTTGATCTTCTAATTGGAAGTTGTTTTGTCATCAAGACTCATCGCAACCCCTCTTTAATTATGATCATAAAGTGGTTCAAATTGCAATACCAAAAATGTCCCAGTCAGACCTAAGAGAGCCTCTCTCTCTCTCTCACCTCTCATACGCACATATAAATAAAACTCAAACAACATAAATTAGATGTGAAGTTAACCCAAAAGTCTAAAACCAAAACACACCTATCAGAGAACCCAACAAAATCATCAATAGTTTTCTTCTCCTTCTTTCTTCCTCTCTCTTCCTCTTCCCCCATGTCTGATGAACCTAGAGATCATTTTTACTACAATCCCCCACTCAACATCGATGGCACTGAAACAAGCATGTATTATAACCAAAGGGCTTCTCCAGTTTCTTCAGCTTTTGATCCCAGTTCATACATGAGCTTGACTGATTGTTTACACACCACTTCATCCATGGACTACACCTCTCTTGAGAAAGCTTTTGGGTTGTCGCCTTCATCCTCCGAAGTCTTTTCTTCCATTGAAGGCAATCAGAAGCAGGCTAAGACTATTGGCAGAGATCTAGGCCGCACCAACAGTACTGAGAATATGACAACCACCACCACCACCACCCCAAATTCCTCCATTTCTTCCTCTTCTACCGAGGCTGGTGTTGAAGAAGATTCCGATAAGAGCAAGAAGAAAGAAGAGCAGCCAAAAAAAGAGTCAGAAGATGGAGGAGAATCCTCAAAGAAAGTGTAAGTTTTTCTCTTTTTTTAACATGTTAGCTACTATTACATATGTTTCAATTCAACCTTTAAATTCAGAACTGGTATTGTTTCGATTCACAGGAACAAAACTAAAAAGAAAGCAGAGAAGAAGCAAAGAGAACCACGATTTGCGTTCATGACCAAGAGTGAAGTCGACCATCTAGAGGACGGGTATAGATGGAGAAAATACGGACAGAAGGCCGTGAAGAATAGTCCATATCCAAGGTTTAACAATTTGTTTTGGTTTTTTCCTTTCATTTCCTTCCATCCAAACAAAAGTCAGTAAACAACAAAAAACTTGTCTTGTTCAGACATGAAACTTAAACAGCGCAAAGTTTGCATTATACTATATTTCTCGCCCCCTCCTTTTGACTGCCCAAGAAGTCAGAGACATGAAACTTAAACTGCGCCATAGCTAGCTAGGTTTCTAGATAATTAGTAATTAATTCTCTTTCTCCCCTTTGCTTATGAGTTTCTTTCTTGACAAATACGAAATTTGAATCTTCAATCTCGACTCCAGAATTAAGCTCTAGACGTATGGGTAATCGTTTCGTATTTATGATATTTTTGCCAATGCAGAAGCTACTACAGGTGCACCACACAGAAGTGCGCGGTGAAGAAACGGGTGGAGAGATCATTCCAGGATCCAACCATCGTGATCACAACATATGAAGGCCAGCACAACCACCCACTCCCGACCACACTGCGGGGACATGCAGGAGCTGGATTTTTCCCACCGTCCATGCTAGCGCCGACCCCAATGGTAGGCGCCGCTTCAAGCTTCCCACATGAACTGTTGATGCAGATTAATCAAGGTCGCATGAATTTTAGCCAGGGCGGAGCAGTAGGATCCATGTATGCACAAAATGTTAGTCCTTTTCATCATCAGCATCATCATCTTCAGCAATATCATCATCAGGATCATCAGGTTCCTGACTATGGTCTTTTGCAAGACATAGTTCCTCCCATGTTCCTTAAACATGAACCATGATTTAATTAATCTCTCCTTCAGGAATTAATCTTTTACTCATTGTATATATACATTACATGGTCAGCTAGCTACTTAATTAGTTTACATGATATATATTCTCTATCTCTAACTTTTTGTTTTCTAGAGGCCAAGAAATACTCTTTACTTAGTTATTTGGTCTCTGATTTAGATTAAGAAATGCTGGGATTTATGCTTATGTAATGGCATAGGGTAAGGCTAAAATAGTGGTTTTTTTTAAAGCCTAGTTTTCAAAGGAATATTGCAGGCTTGTAATGGTACTAATTGGGAGCAATATTTTATGTTTGTTTTATCATTTGAAGTAGAGCAAGATCCTCCACGCAATTATTGAAAGTTAATGTGACAAATTAAGTATTATCTTAATTCATTAGTCTCTTATATGATTAAGTCATAATCTCTTAGTTAATTTTCTAGTAATAGTTGAGCTTAATTAGTAAGTTATGCATGGGCTATCCCACCATGCTTTGCGGTTAAGAAACTCGAAATCTTACACGTGATATTTGAATATATGATTGTCTATTTTGTCACCCTTGAAATGGAAATGTTAGCTTGTTTTTATAAAGACATAAATATTTCATTTGTTCTTTACCTTGTCGACTGTGGCCTTAAAACAAAAAAGTTGATTTTAACAGTGATAAAGAAGAAAGCTTAAGTTTAGAAAAGTAGAATCATTTTCCAAAAGGGAGGTTCCTAAGCAATAGAGACAGCGGTCTGTCAGGGGGATGGAAATTGGCCTAACAAATTTCCTTTATTTGGTAGCTGGTCATGAGGGACTCATATAATTGGTTTACATTTCTTCATATCTTGGTAAGCATATAGTAAAAAATAGAAAAGTGATGTGCAGCTTGTTTTATACAACCGGCATATTTTATAATTACTGATAAGCGTAATTTTCTTAATATTAGAATATTAATTTTTTTATTAATAATTATAAAATATACAATTCATACAATAGGAATAATAAAATTGCATACCTTATAATAAAAGCTTTATTTGTCTAATGGACAGATATATATACATATATATCTTTCTCAGATCTATATGTGAATATTTGTGTATCTATATCTTAACCTGTCTCCATTAAAATTAATTGGAGAAACGTATGAATCACGTCTCGGTCAAGGATTGGACAAATAATTGAAAGATTAGTTTCGTGTTGAGGTTATGACTAATTCCAGACTTTGAAAGCTGAAAACTCTATGTCAAGCAAAAATTGTCATGGTCGTGTAGTCAAGCAAGTATCATTAGGAAAATTAATCAATATATAATTTGAGACCAAATAAATAATGGTAATAAACTATAAATATACCTGAGTATGGTACTACTATAGTATATATATAGTCATTATCAAATTAAATTAATCAACTAATTAACAAACTCAAACAAAATAACACATAATAAAGGGAGGCTAGATATCTAGTGGAGGAATTTTTTATTTTGTTTTAAACTACAAAAACTGCAAAATAAGAACTATTAAATTGGAGAATAACTTCCAATATAAAGGAACCAATCCTTCATCCAATAACTTATCTAAGTTGTGGAATTTGGACTACATAACTATTAGAGTATATGAACATGTGAGTGAAGTTAAGAGTTAAGAGATGTGCACAAGATTCCACATCAATGGGAAACAAGGTGTTAGAGTGCAATATAAATGTGAGAGACCTATGAACTTGATAAGCATGTCTTTTGAGTTCAATATAATGTCTCCTTATATGTATTCGTACTCTTACACCCATGCACTCTCGAGACTCTCCCAACAAATAGTATCAAAACTGGGTTTTAAACTCAAGGGAGAGAGAAATTCACATGTTTATGGAAGAGAATGTTGGAATATATGAACATGTGAGTGCTCTTAAGAGTTAAGAGATGTGCACAAGTTCGAAGGCCAATAAATCTGATAGACATGCTTTTGGATTCATCAAAATGATGTCTCCTTAGATATGTTCATATTCTCACTCCCATGCGCTCTAGATCCGACCCATTAAACTCTTCCAACAATAACACAATTTTGCCAACGAAATTAGCATCAAGTAATTACAAAACAAATTAATATTTTACTTAAAACTAGTTTGTAAACCACTGTAAAAACTATTCTGATATAAGCAAACTAACTTTTAAACTCTACCACACTTGTCGTAATTCTGTTTAACAAAATATTAATCATATGGCGATATGGGGCGGGCTCCTCCGGTCATTTTAGATAGGCTTAGTGCCACTAAAATCCCCTGACTTTATAAAAGGAATCATTGTCATACTTCTATTTTTTTAAAAAATATCCGTCAGCTTTAGAAAAGGAGCAATCATCATTCCTCCGTTAACTGGCTTCACAACTCTGTTTTATTCTCCCGTTAGAACTCTCCAAAATTTAATAGTAAAATAACATTGTCAGTCCCTCAAATTTTAGTTCCAGTACACTTTGATCTTCAAATTTCAATTTTTTTTTTCAATTTGGTCCCAATTTCCACTTTTCTTATTACACTGTAGTTCTTAAACTTTTTTAAAAAATCCTACTAGAGAACAAACTATTAACAATGTGGATCACGTCAATGAAAGTCTAGAATACGTTATTGAAAATAGTTCACCATTGTGTACTATGTCAGTAATTTATTCTTTGATGAAGCTTCACTCGGTAATAAAATCAACATGAAAACACAAAAACACGTATTTTGTGTTATTGATTCTCAAGTACTCAAGGTAGTGGGGTGATACTATTAAACAAATCAGCAATGTAATATATGTTGGTAAAGTTGAACTATAACCCATGTGCCAATCTATGTTTTTGATACTTGCTAATATGTTGCTTTTTAGTAGTGAGAGTTACACTTAAATCTCAAGATTTCTAATTCCATATTCTACTCCTTTTTTACAGAAATAATAAAAATCATGTAAGTAAAATCTAATAAAATTGTATTCAACTCATTTAGATATTAATAAAATTAAGGCTAAAATATTAAAGTAAAATATATAAAACTCATCTAATTAGAGTGAAAAATCAAGTTTTTGATATCCAATGTAAGATCTTTAAAATTAAAGAAATGACATTTATCTCTTTGCATATACATAACTCACATGAGAGAAAAAAAAAAAAGAAAAAAGAACAACAATTTGATCAAAAAAGGGTACAAAGGAAATACTTGCTTCTTTTCTTAGTTATGCTTGCATTCATAACTGAAAAAACATAACCTAAAGCTATAATCAATTCACAATGTTTACATGACCACATTTATCATATACTCACGAGTCATTTCTATGTCTTCTACAACTTCATTATTATGATTGTAGCACTTCATAGAATTCCCAATTGGGTATCAAAGACTTTTTAAGACAAATGAGTATCAAAATTTTGATTTTGCACCTTGATGATATTAATTTTTATATATTTTAATTTATCACTTTAGGTTTAATTTGGTTGATATTTGAATAAATTGCATGTAATTTTTAATGGAAGTTATATATTTTTATTATTTGTACAAAAGATGATTGGAATACATGAAATTAAAAAATGAATTTTTTTAACTCGTGCCCTAAAGTTAGAGCATAGATTGAGAGTATATTAATTGTACTTTTTTCTAATAAATTTTTATAAAAAAATGTAAAAGTTCATATTATTTTTAATATCGGTGCTACATGAAAGATTTTATTGGGTAATTAAAAAAAATTAAAATCAACTTCTATTTTTTTGTGCAAATTAATTGTAAAAATGTGTAATTAATACATCCTTAGAAAATTTGGGACTCAAGTGCAGCTCTTCCAAAAGTTTATGGACAAAATTAAAGCTTAGAGATAAAGTGTATTGGAACTGCAATTTGAGGGACCAACAATGTCATTTTACCATTAAATTTCGAAAGTATTTAATGAAGCATGAACGGAGTTACGAGCCCTGCTAACGGAGGGAAGATTGCCCTTTTTCTAAAGTTGGGGAATTTTTATGAATTCTTTTAAAGTAGAAGGATTATAATAATTCTTTTTGTAAAGTTGAAAGATTTCTAGTGACATTACATTAAACTTTTTAGATACAAGATCTCTCGGTTTAAATATCATTCAAAATTGATGATTTAAAAATAATATCAAGATGGGAAGGAGCTTTCTAGAACTATGGTATATTTGTCTATTAATTTATAAACCACCATTTTTAAATATTATTAATTAATTATTTAAAAAATTATAAATTAATAAAATATTAATTGAATCGTGTGGCCACACAATAATAATATGGATCATTGTGACGATGTCCAGATCCTCTTAACCCCAACAAATTGTTGATGCATTCCTTTACCTTTAATTAATTGTTCCATTGTGAGGACACCAACAACACTAACAACTCTAATTAACAAAAAAGGCATGCAATTATGTTAGCATATACTGTCCATTATAAAACAAGCAAAAACCACAAAGGGCATTAAATTTATTTGATTTTGATGGAGTCAAATGATTAGGTATATATGGTTACTTTATCTGCACTCAACCCTCTCCCCATCCTCTTAACATATAATATGTTTTATTTTATAGCAATTTAATAGACAGCACCATCAACTAATTTTTATTAAATTTCCTCTTTTGCACCCAAATAAATTTAATTTTTTTCTTAACCAAGCAAATAAAATTAATTCACAGGATTTAAACAAGTTATTAAAGTTTCTTGATGGTTTATCAAGTATCTGAAATTAAATTTTAGTTTGAGTGATTGTATTAATTACAGATCTTGTGACTGAAACTTGTAATGAGAGAAACGTAAGAAAAAAAAAAGAATATGCATTTTTTCATTTTTTATTTAAGAAAATGAATTTTACTTATTTTTAAATAAAATAATAAATTTTTTATTTTCTATTTAAAAATATTAATTTTACATATTTTTAATTAATAGGTAGCTTGAGATTTTTTATTG